TGATGATAGTAATGGAAGTAATGATTTTACTTTAATGCCCTTACTCAACTTTTATATTTACCATTATAGCATAACATTTATCAAATTTAGTTATATACCATTGATTGAGTTAAATTTATATAAAAATTCACCTTGATCTTAATCAATTGGATTAACTAAACCATATTTACTTTTAAATTCAAGTGAAGTATAATTTAATATTATAATTCATTTTTATTTTAATATTTAATCTAATTAATTCCATCACTACAATTACAAACAACGTCTTCACCACCGAAGTCATACCTCCGCCACATTTCCTCTCTCCCTCTCCTTCTTCACACACATAACTATTGGCACAAGTACCTCTAACCGACAAACAAAGTATACCAAACAAATTAATTATCAAAATAGTGACGGCCAAATTCCTCCCCGCCCCAAAAAAAAACCCTAAACCATCGCACATCTTCAATTTCTAACCCAATTTGTATGGCAGCATGTACAATCTAGTCATTAACTGATTTGATGATATTGAACGCTAATTTAGTGTTAATTTAATAAAATTTAATATTAATTTGATAAAATTAAAGGTAAACTTTATATCAATTTGAAGAAATTGAATTTAAAAAAAATTTAATTTAATGTTAGTTTGATGTTAATTAGATGAATTGAATTTTAAGTTGATAAATTCAATGTTAAATTGATTAAATAAATTGCTAATTTCAGAGATTAAATTGATGAAATATAATGTTAATTTAGTGTTTATTTGTAAAATTAAATGTTAATTTGATAAAATTAAATATTAAATTAATAAAATAGAAAGTCAATTTGATATTAATTGGATGATATTAAATTTTAAATTGATGAAATGAAGTAAAAGAGAAAGAGACGTCGGATAATGAGGTGAAACAAAAAGAGAGTTGGCCAATTGTGGAGGAGGAAGAGAGGGTAAAATTGTTATTTTAAAAATATTTAATGACAACATTATCATATTGTAGCGTGTCAGTAAAGTCTGCTCAGGGGGGTTGTGAATAAAGTAAACATATGAACTAAAAGGTAATGCAATAAAATTTTAGAAAAGAAAACGGGTGTCGGTATATTTATGTCCAGTGGTGTGGATAAAATTTAGGAAAAATTGTGAAAAAATATATCATTTTATACTTACTTGTGTAAAAATATTTCAATATAAAACATATGTGTGTAAGTACCTTTGTGTGTTGGTTAAGAGGTACACTTTTGTTGAATTGTAATTTTTTTTCTTACGAAATTGCCTTTTTTTTTTTATTAATGAGAGACAAATATGACAGTTATATTAGAGATTCGGTTTCCTAAATTTATGGAATAATATTTTTGAATTTTAAATCATATATTTATCTTTCATTCAACTTAAGTTATTCAAACATTCATGTCTTTTCCATATTTATATAATTTATTTTTTTAATAAATCGTAATAATCAAGATGATGATTCTAACTCAGAGAATGATTTGCTGTCTTGCACGAAAATGTCACAGTGCTACAAGACAATGTTACATTGGTACTAAAAAATGTCACATTGCTACAATACCGTCCATATGTTTTTTTTTTAAATCGTTACGGTCTTTTAACGTCAATCATGTTCATGTGAGGATAAATATCAATGATAATGACTCAAATGAGGATAATCGTAATAATCAAGATGATGATTCTAATTCGGAAGATGATTTGCTGCCTTGCACGGTAATATCACAATGCTACAAGACATTATCACACTGGTACTAGAAAATGTCATACTGCTACAAACCAAATTCACACTGCTAGAAACCAATGTCACACTATTGCAAATCAATGTCACACTGTATATATTGACATGATACATATCACAATGTATATGGTCTCTTTGATTTTTTTTTTTTTTTTTTGTGGCAAATGATTAAACACTTGGTGTGCATGTAGTACCAAACACTAGAAGTAGAAAGGTAATTGAGGGGAAAACAAATAGACAAAATAAAAGAAACAATATTTTTCTTGAATTATCAACTTCTTTTCCAAAAAATTCAATCACTCCCATCCTTGTCCATCCTTCTGCTACAACCACTTCCATTTGCAAAAAATCATTTTTAATTTCTTATACTTTCACTCCGTTCCTATTAAAACCTATCAAGAGAAAAACTATCTTCGCCCCAAAATCCTCAAAATTATAACAAAACCCTCTCTCAAACCCCTCCCCCAATCACCCCCAACAAACCCAATTAATCACAGTGAAACTCCATCTGAACAAAGTCCTAATTTTTCCTCCGACCAATTCTCCAGTAAAGAGCTAAAAGTGCCAAAAACTCATGATTTTTGAATCGTTGAAATTTCCCAGTTCGTCGGACTTATCGACGACAGTATTGGTAAATTTTCTAGAACTTCTGTTCTTAAATTTGGGTTGTGGTTGGTTGGTGTCTTTGTGTTGTAGACAAAGATAAAGATTTGGATAGTGAAGTTTTGAAAAGATCCTTTTTTCAGCAATGATCAATAGGAAGTTTTGAAAATTCAAAAAGAGGTTTTATGGAAGTTTTTGGAAGAATGAAGTTTTCGACAATATTGAAGGGATTTATGTGTAACAGTTGAGATCCTTTAAGTTTCAGTTGTGGAAGCAAAAATATAGGAATCGGTTCTCATTCTACTAAAGAGGGTATTTTAGAGATTTGTTTGGGGTTGTGTACTTTTTGTCTTATATTTTAAAGTTGTACTTTCTGCCCTATAATTTCTAAAAAAGATACCGGTCCCCTTAAAACCCTAAAATTTATCCAAAATCTTAACCTAGGGGTGTCCATAGGTCGGGCTGAGCTAGACTCATGAATTTTTTTTTGAGTCGTACCTGAGTAGGGTAGGCTCAAGCCCTTACCTGGGTAAGTTATTAAACTAGTCAAGTCGATATTCAAGTAGGAGTACACCTGCAGCCCAACTTGCCACATAGTGGACGAGTTTTTTTTTTTTTAAATATATTTTGTAAATTATATTTTTGAATTAAAAATAGAGTTAAAATGAACAAAAAATAAATAATGAATAATTTTATTTAAATAAAGTCGAGTCATGTATTGTCGTCAAACTTTCAAAGTTTCAATGGTTAATTTTTTTTCAAACAATTGGGAGGAAGGACAAATGGGCTGGGTGGGAAGGTGGGCTGAGTTTCGAGTTCGGTAATAGGTTTGAAGAAAAGCCCAAGCTCTCTCTTAAGGGGTTTATCGGACTTATTTTTTTGGGGCCAGGAAATGAGAATCGTGGGTCAACCCGACCCATAGACATCCTTATCTAAACCCCTAATTCATTAAGTACCAAAGTTTGGTTTAAATGAACTCATAATTGATAATAGACATATCTACAAAAAAGAAGAAGAAATTAAAAAAGATACAAAACTGAAAAAAAACAAAAAAACAAAAGATGTGCACATTATAAATCAACTCACAACATCCATTACATTTATTTCATAAGTTAAATCAACTCCTAATTCAAGTGAGCATGGAAAAACCCCAACCAAATTATTGTATAGCTTAAACCTATATTGTCACCAAGATTGCTTGCCACCACCATAATGTCAAGCACCGGTGGCTAATCAAGGTATTCAAAAACGAGTTTCATGAAATGCAAGCTCGTTGGACTTGAAGCCGAGCTTCAATTATAGTTTGAGTTCAAAGACTTGGTTTTTCAACAAAGTTAAATTTACCAAAATTTTTATTAAATTTTCTATGTCAAATCAACCTGAATTATATCATTAGTGAGTTCTATTAACTCTTAATACTTCGATGGTTATGAATGTGACAGGTAATTTTGCCCCAAAAAAAAAAGTGATAAAAGTTTTGATACAAAACAACTCTTCTGTTGAGGTGGTCAGCGCAAAGTGAATGAAAATACTGTGACTATTTCATATTCTCAACCTCAATGATTTAACCATTTACTGTAAATATGTTAAGAGGGGAAACCTTCTGAGTTTGATGTGTTTGTTCAAAGAATGGATTGGATTTATCATGCACATTTTGCATTCTTAAGATAGTACACCGTCGCTTTTTAGAATTTGGATTGGGTTTAAACAAAAAAATTCAAATCTCGTTTCAATCCGACTAGTTCTCGGGCTAGGTTCTGGAATTTTCGAAAACCCCAATTAATGGATTCGGATTCAACTCGAATTGAAATCAAATTTCTGCCCAAAATATGTAATGGTTAATCACATTTAAATTGAATCTGTATTCAAGCCAAAGGTTGAATGCGAATTGAACTTGAATTTCAGCTTGAGTTGTACAATGTGAGTGCAGCTGTAGTTTGACAACATAAGCATTTATAGTACTTGGGCTGAAGGGTTCGGTTCAAGTCTAGCTCAACTTGAACTTAGATTGAGAGTTTTGAGACTTTTGAGTTAAGAAGAGTTGGTCTTTGAACTAGCCTAACCCATCCAAGTTGCACTCCTACTTTCATCATATTACTCCTTATGATTTAATTATAACTATTACTTGATTAATCTTGAGAAAATCTTGTAATGACTAATGGAGATGAAAATGAGCAGATGAAAAATCAAAATCAACTGTTGTATGATTAAAAAAAAAAAATAATCACCTTCTCCCAAAGCCAAATTGTGGTAAAGATCAACAATGCTGGGACAGTTGTGATAACTACAGTTGCACCTGCATGAATGTTTATCAAAGAACGAAACTACCCTCCATGTCATCAAGAAATGAATGATGAAACTACCCACATGGATAAGCACGTATAAGACATCAACAACAGTTACCCATCTTGAACTGACGTTTCAATTTGCAACTAACTACCTTATTCCTTACGCTTTCCATGTGCAGTCCTAAATTTCAGCATTAATGACCTCTTCTAAATTTCATGCACCAACCATCACAACATTTTAGCACACCGAAAACCTACTTATTTCCTGCTAGTTTTGCTAATTTTAGTAATTTCTGTTACCTTTATCTCATTATAAATAGCCCCCATAGCACCTTTTAGTTACCCACTTCATTTCTTCCATTAAAATATCATTGTTCTGAGAGACCGAATGGGTTTTTTTAACAGAATCATCTTCATTTGGGGCCTTTTAGTTTTGTTCTTCCTAGTTCTTGATTGTGAAGCTAGGGTTCCAACAAATAGAGGGTTTGTCAGAACAAAAGGGACCCAGTTTGTTCTAAATGATTCGCCTTTTCTTTTCAATGGGTTCAACTCATACTGGATGATGAATGTTGCAACAAACCCAAGTGAAAGGTACAAAGTCTCTGAAGTGTTCCGAGAGGCGGCTGCTGCTGGACTTTCTGTCTGTCGAACTTGGGCTTTCGCGGATGGAGGTGACAAAGCACTGCAAATTTCACCTGGCACTTATGATGAACGAGTTTTTCAGGTAAAAAATGAATATATCTAATCATGTCACAAAATAGTGCAATTTACTGTCCCTAATATAGTTATTCATATTACTATTTTTGTGTAAATATTAATATTCTTACTACATGAATTTTTAATGGTTTAGGCACTGGATTTTGTGATTTCGGAAGCAAGAAAACATGGGATTCACTTAATGTTGAGTTTCGTGAACAATTACAATGACTTTGGAGGGCGAACACAGTATGTGCAGTGGGCTAGAAATGCAGGAGCACAGATTAATAGTAATGATGATTTCTACACAAATCCAGTGCTCAAAGGGTATTACAAGAATCATGTCAAGGTAGAAACTAAATTTTCATGAAATAGATTAGGGTTCATGTGTGTAGGCGCTTTGCAAGGAAAAGTTAGTTGTAATCATCATAATTTTCAACGAATTTTATTAATTGCAGAGAGTCCTAACAAGATTCAACACCATAACTGGAATTGCTTATCGAGATGACCCAACAATCATGGCGTGGGAACTCATGAACGAGCCTCGTTGCCAAGTCGACTACTCTGGAAGAACAATAAATGTGAGTCTCAACAGCATATACTTTTACAAGTGAGATCGCCTCTAATAAATTTTTTTGTTTAATTTCATTTAAAGGTAAATCACTTAGTATTATATATGCTTGGGGACACACTAATAAATAGTAGCCCTTCATGAATTAATGGTGAGTGGCTTATCATTGTGTAAAATTAATGAAGTGAAATGTATGGATCGTCCTTTCATAACTCCTAAAAGCATGGTTTTGATGCGTAGCTATCACTGCAATTGTTGTATAAATTTTACTAATTATATATTTGATATTACAGGCCTGGGTTCAAGAGATGGCAACTTATGTAAAAGCTTTAGATGGCAAGCATTTGCTGGAAATAGGCATGGAAGGATTCTATGGGGATTCGCTACCCCAAAAGAAGCAAATAAATCCTGGTTACCAAGTTGGGACAGATTTCATTAGTAACAATCTCATCGGGGAGATTGATTTTGCCACCATTCATGCATATCCTGACATATGGTAAACCACCTATATCCTTACTAATTTCTAATGTTGCTTGTAATGTGATGGCTCCTTTGATATCGTAGTCTTACTACCATATGTGAAACCAAATATTTTCATACATCATATATCTCAAAAGATTAGATTTTAAACAAGTTAGCTTAATAGTGAACTTGAACATTAGTATCCGAATTCTCAAGGGTTCAGAGTCCTGAATCTTATTTAAAATTTTTAAATTTTCTTTTATTTAATTCATTTTCTTAGAATTTTTTTTATTTTTTATTTTTGTGTTAAAGAGGACCTTTAGTCACGTTCTTTAACTAATTTTTTTTTATATGACAGGTTGTCTGGTAAAAATGATGATGCGCAAATGGAATTTATGAAAAGATGGATGTCAAGCCATTGGCAAGACTCGAGGACGATACTAAAGAAACCTTTGGTAATCGCAGAATTTGGAAAGTCCAGTAAAGATCCAGGATACAGTTTAAAAGAGAGGGACTGGTACATGAGTTCTGTTTATACAAACATCTACAATTTGGCAAGAAGTGGAGGAACCGTTGGTGGGGCCCTGGTTTGGCAACTCATGGCAAAAGGGATGGATTCTTACGATGATGGGTACCAGATTATCTTATCAGAAAATCCTTCTACTGACGGAGTCATTTCTAGACAATCTCGTGCAATGACAGGTTTATCTCATTTGTTTGGCTTACCTCATAGTAATGGTCGTTTGAGCCATTGGCCACACAACGCAAAGCATGGTCATCCATATGGTCGACGTCATGTAAACAAGTCCGTTCCTTGATGGACTTGGTGGGATGATATCATGGTTCTTGGGCAATAAACCTATTAGCATCTATTATAGTTATGTGTTCCAGGAGTAGTATTACCTGTTGTCCCTCGAAATTTGAATTTTTGTAGTGAAATGTACAACTTTACATTATCTTACTAAGTTGAAATTCAGTTTCAATTGAAAAATTATTCATCGCAATGGTGATACTACGTCATTATTGATGATATGATATAACCAACCAATAATATGTGAACAATTAGAAAAACGGACCCTACACAAGTCAATAATTACCTGTCTATGTAAACCAATAACTGTTCACTCTTCTTCCATATAAGTCAATAACTATTATCTAAGTGAAGCTCACTTTACTTATTTGGAGTTTTATTATCGATTATTAATATCATGTCATCAATGCTGACATGATATATATCACCATTGCATTGAATATTTTCTCCAGTTACAGAGGGTAGATAGTAAACCATGGATGGCGTCGGTAAATGATTTTTGGGTGGACACATTAATATGTTTGCGTTTCTTTTTTCCTTCCAATTAATAAAATCAAGATGATACATTTATATTTATTTACATCATTTTTATAACACTACAAGAAAAAAGAGTTATTACGATGGTAAGGTACTGTCATAAAAGGTGTATTTGCTGTCATAAATACTTTTTGTAGTGGCATTGTGACGGCATTGTCTCGCCATAATAAGTGTGGTCACAAAAGACTTTTACGACAGCAACGGTCGGCTCAAATAGTATTTACTACAGCAAGATCCCGTTGTAAATAAGTTGTCACAAAAAATTCGATTTACAACAGCAATGATGCCGCCACAGAAAATTTTTTTTTTTTTTAATTATTATGGATTGTTGGTAATCAATGTTTATACCCTGTGCATATAAACAAATCCATTATAACTTCTTTTTTTTTTGGGAGGGAAAAGTACTTGAACTCTTGACCTCAAGAAGACAAAACTTTCATAAGGTAAGGAGTACTATTGGACCAAAGACCCACTGGTATCTGTACTACCCAATTCAATATATAAATAAACACAAAAGTAAATATGACCAACATTTTCAAAAACATAGTAATATTTTCATATAAAAAAAAACAATCTCATGAGTTTAACAAAATGTAAAATATGCACTTTTACAAAACATAACGATCCATGAGTACAAGAAATTAATCCAAAAATTTGAACATCCTTCCCGAACTATCTAATCTCTCAGTGACATATGAAAAAAAATATTAAATTATTGTTAATATACTGAAATGATATTTATATACGTATATACAATAAAGAACTAAAAGAAGTTATACATCAATAGAAGGTCACTTCTGAACGGCTTATCCAATTATGTAAATGGTATATAAACGAATCATATTGTATACATTTCTTCTAATTAGTTTCACTAATACTTGATTTATTTATAATCGTATCGTATCGTATCGGATCTACTCGTTTACTAAACATGTGGCTTAACGAAAACTCATACCCACTAATTTTATGTCGTGTTAACGGACCGTTTCATATTTTGACACCCTTAGTTTTGATATAAAAAATTGACTTTATATAATTTAATTTTTTTTTCTTTGAACTAGAAATTGTCTTTTGATGTAAAACTATGTAATTTTTATAAAATATTACTTGTAACATGAATAATAGTTGTGGCTAATACAATTTTTTTTTAGAGTTTTTCTTTTTTAAACTATAAACTGTTTTTTAATCTAAAACGACATTTTAATGTTTTATGAAATATTATATACAACGGGAAAAATAGCTGCCATAAATATAAAAAATTCCTTTGAATTTATGAAATATAATTTGCATCAAGAAAAACAGTTGTTTTAAATATAAAAATTTCTTTTGAGTTTATGGCACTATTTACGACAAGAAAAATAGGTGTCACAAATATTAACAAAATATTAATACAAACACACTTTTTATGACGACAAACACAGTCGCTACAAAAAATTGTCTCAAACAAATCTTTTGTGATAGCAAACACAGCCACCGTAAAAAATTTGTCACAAAAGACCCTTATTCTTATAGTGTAATCAAAAATTTATCTAACAAATTGGTTTACATAGTATATTTATGCCAAAAAAGGATATAAAATTGTACCCAAATAATAATAATAATAGTCATCTACAATTAACCCCAAAGAATTTTCATAATTTAAAGTTATCGCATAATAACTTCATTATCGACGTCGTCAAAAATATATTTTCCCATGTTCACAATTATGTTATCAGTCATCCATTTTGATATGCAACTAAGTTATCTTTACAATATTAATTCCTAAAAATGCTTTCTCTACTATGGATAAACTTAATGTCAAAGTAACAGGTAAACTAATGAATTGCCACACATTTTTAGTTTAACCATTTTTTTGAATAAGATCATCAATCCCTGTTAGGTTTGAAAATCGAGTTTTAAAAATGTCAAGAGTTATGTTGTTCTATAATGTTGTGAATAAGAGCTCTAAAAAAGGTATCCCCCACCTCAATGAAGGATAGAATGGTCATCGAAAGGTCATACAATTATCGAATGGATAGGAATAATAGTGGGCTTACCAAGAGCTCCTTGAAGGAAGACAGAAAAAACAAGGAACAAATCAATGCCATTATAGTGAAGCAGCTGTGTTTGAGAAATTCCTGGACTTTGTTTGAGATTTGGTTTGAAGAGGTTGTTATTTATATAGAGAAGAGACTTGTGAAAACCTATACAAAATGACATTCTAGAGTACAATAGTTTTTGAGAGGTAATTTCGCGTGATGAAATGAACTTGGGTTCCTTGAAGTATCTTTCTCTCTCTCTCTAGTGGAATTTGAAAGCCGGAGCCCAAAAACGAATCTGCCAGATCTTGGTGGCATTATGATTTGATCTGAATGCAAATTTGGTTTGTTCAAATAGGACTAGGAGAAGAACCATGCCTTATATTTTGTTGTCTTTCCCATTTTTTTTTTTTTTTTTTGGGTTGGGGAAAAGATTAAAACTTTGTTGGTGAGAAATGAGAGAACTCTATAAGGTTGCGGTCAAGAGGTTGCAGCCAAATTGGCGCAGGAGCGCCGGGAACACTACGAATTCAATGTTTTTCTATGGGGTTGTTTGATAATATCACTTAATGCTTAAAATTGAATACTTTAAGTACTTAATAAATTAAACTTATTTGGTAACCTAAAATTCATACCACTTAATATTTTAAGTACTTTTTAAAAATAGGCTACAATTTTAAATAACAAGTCACATACTTATCACTTAATACTAAATATATTAGTCAATAAGGATTTTATAAATTCTTCATTATAGACACATATACTCTCAATACATTTTATATTCTTAACTTTTTAATACCCACCATTATCAGCAGCGCCATTCTTAACTTTTAATACCCAACACTATCATTGTGCCACCACTGTCACTATTGTGCAATAGCCACCACCACTATCACTATTGTGATAATGATGGTAAGAATAACATAGTTGCAGTAAGATAGTTAAAAAAGATAAAATTAGAATAATAATAATTTTCAAACTTCAACTCCTTATGTTTGTCAAATAATTTAATTTAGTTCAATATTTAAATTTCAGTGAATACCAAACTGGCTGCAAATTAAAAAATTAATCATTCAGCATTTAAAATTCAGTATTCAGTTTTTAGTATTCAACTTTCAATTTTATCAAACACTACCTATGTATCGGGTACACAACTGCTCCTAAATACGCCAAAATTAAGCAAAACATTTTGAAATAAGATGTTATTAAATCAATAAAACTAATAGTACACAGGAGCAACAATAGGAATGTCAAACACATAACTAAATCCCTAATTCTAAGAAACTTATTTGAAAGAGAAAAACACACGTCATTTGCAGAATAAATGGTTTGGAGATTCTATTGTGCCCTTTCTTTTTTTAAATTGAAACGATTTAAAAGGGAGCTCCAACTTTGAAATAAATATGTTGTGGGATCGATTTTTTAAAAGAATAAGGAAGTGGAATTTCAAGTCTACGACATTCAGAAATCCTTGGAAAGGGTGGATGGACGGCAGAGTTAGCCCGGGAGTGGGATTTAGGGCTCAAACATGATCTAGGCAACAAATCATTCTAGAATAAATAAAGTAATCATCTCCTATGGAGACAAAAATCTTTATCAAAATTTGATTAAAAAAAGGTAAAAAACTTGATTCGATACAAAACACTCCAATGGAGAATTCAAAGTTAAAAAAAAAAAATTTAAATAAGGATAAGATATGACCAAAAGATCTTTAAAGGTAAATGAAATCTAACTATTGTTGATTTGAATAAATGTTTGGGTCTTCCTTGATTTGTGTAAACATTTGAGTTTCTCTTAATTTGATATGAGTTTTGGTTTAGCATTGAAAAAGGTTTTTAGAGATATTTTACTCAAATTTAAATTAGATTTAAAAAATGGTAAGGGTTGGAACTAAATTCTAACTTTAGAAAAATAAGAAACTTTAAAATTCGCCTCAATCATAGAGCAAAACTCACTTGGAATGTTATTATAAAATGATTTGATAAAAATTAGGGAAATTGCATTTTACATTCTAAAAAATTTTAAGATTTTCACTTTATAATCTCAAAGATTAAATTTCTCACATTGTACCATCAATTTATCAAAAGTGTTGCAATG